TCCATTGTCAAAGCCACCCATTAAATCCATGAAAATTTTCTGTCATTCCACAAACCATCACTAAACTCCAAATTAACTCACCCTTAAGCTTCCTCAAACCAAAAGAGAAAGTTCCTCATCAAAATCCCTCTCTCCCGGGCACTCTAACCCACTCCTAAATCAAAGCTGCACCACCCTTTGGTCGAAATCCTACTCAAACCTTATTCTAGAGCAAGGTGATACTTCGAGGAGGTTTGTTGGACTACAAAGAAGCTTCCACAATCACTCAATTGAGGCCTCACCTTTTGGGCAGAGGTATATTTCAAAATCTCTAATTTTAGCCTCAGTTTCATTGATTGTGAACTAGACTCGTATTTCATATGCATGTAACATTATAGATAGTTTCACCTTGACTAGATGAAGCTATGGAATAAACCCCATGTGATTTGGATGAGTATAGAGTGAGATCTTAGGTCTAGAAGTTTGATGTTTCTAGTTTTAGAATAGATGGGGATGATGAACATATGTCATCCATTTCTGCGTATATTGATCGAACGACGGAGGAGAAGTCGGACGGGAGAATGGTTCATAAAGTGTGGGTCGGGTAGCAGCTGACACGGAAGGCAGCGACAAATGGGAACACACCGCATGGAATTTTGGAGCTGACAAGGATCCAGTCAGCATCGTGTGGATAAGTAGAAAAGTGGGCCTTTTTATTTATTTAAATTCATAAACTTTAAAAATTCATAACTTGGTATACAAAATTCGTAAAAATAAAATAAAAATGTCTTGTTGCTTAGTGAACAGGGAAAAAAATTTACAAACTAAAAATAAAAATTATTTACTATATATTTTATTTTTAATTAATTAAGTGCTTCAGAGAGTATTTTAATTATATTTAATAAAATATTAATCATTTAAATATTATTCACCATGGCTTGAAATTTGGAGGGCTTATTTTGCATGTGGTTAGAGATGTTCTCTGATTTTTCTAAAGTTAGAGAACACCTCTAACCCTAAAATTCCTCATTTCCAGGTCTAGTTGCCTATTTTTGCTCAAAATAATTATATAAATTAAAATTAAAATCAGAAAAATATGAGATTTTTTTGGTAGGTTTCTTAAGGTTAGAGGACACTAGAAAAATATAAAATGAGTTTAAGTAATTATGTACATTATCATAGATAATTAAGTCGACCATCTGATGATTTGATTAGGAGAGTAAATTTACTAGATTCGACTTATGTTAAGAAAGGCAGAGGTAGACCTAGGATGACTTGGGCTTATTGTATAAAAAATGATCTTGATTTATTAAAACTAAATGAAAATATGACACTAAATAGGACATAATGGAGAAAAAGGATTCATGTAGCAGATCCCACGTAGCTAGATTAAGGCTTTGTTGTTGTATCATAACTAATTAAGTCATTAAAACTCATAAAGATTTAAATAAATATAACATAATTCAAAACTTGTAAAACATGTTTCACACTGTAAATAATGATCATTTGAACCCTTTGTAAAAAATTGAAACTCATTTGAGATATATTTAATATCAAAGTCTATTTTTCAAGTAAAAATGGATTTTTGTAATAAAATAATTATAATAAATAAAATATAATTCTGAAAATTATGAAAATGGTTTTGGGAGTTCCTTGTGATCAGGGGCACCTAAGAAAAATAAAATTAATATTAAAATAAATAGTACATTTTTGAGCTACTTTTTAAATTAAAAATAATTAAAAATGAAAAAATATGAAAATGAACAAAAAGTAATATTTTAAAATTTAAAGGTCTTCGTTTACCTTCTATTTGTTATCTGTGTAAGAATCATGAAGAGTTCCTGGAACATTTATTTTTTCATTGCTCTTTTCCTATTGCGCTTTGGGATATGGTTTTCTCCTTGTTTGATTTTAATGGGAATCGACTGAGCTGCACTTCTATTTTTGGTTTAATTGTTGAGTGGAAGAAGAATGGTAGTATCTATTTTGCTTCTATTCCCATAGTTTTCTTTTGTTATATCTAGTTGGCTAGGAATGAATGTAAACATGATGGTAAAGTGGTTTCTCCTTCTAATTTTTTTTTATATTAAAGGCTTTATTTATAAAATACTGAAATTTGGTAAGTTTACAGCTTCTCCTCATCATAGTGTCATGAACATGTTGTGTAAGTTTCAGATTGCGCATGATAGGAAAGGTAAACCTGTTATTCAGTTGATTATGTGGAAAGCTTCTGCGCATTATTATCTGAAACTTAATACTGATGGTAGTTGGACCTCAATCGCTATTGATATAGATGGTATTTGCATATATTTTAGTGTACATTGTCTTTATTAGTTTTCTGCTCCTGTTGTTGCTCTAATCCGATTATTGCTAAAGCTGAAACTGTGATTACTGGTTTGGAGTTGGTTGTTAAATGTGGTTGGCATAATATGTATATTGAAATGGATTTTATAAACTTATGGCTCTATTGTTGCATGAAGAAGGATTATCCTTGGAACCTTATTCTTCAGTTAAAGAGAATTTTTGCTCTTATTAATTTTATACAATTCCATTGGCTTTTTATACATCGTGAAGGTAATAAATGTGTGGATTAGGCTGCAAAACATAGCTTAAAGTCACAAGTTGGTAATTTTTCTAATCTAGTTTCGTTGGAGCTTCCTCTTCTGGTTAATGGGGATAATCTTAATATTCCATTTCTTTGTGTTGCGAGTTGTTTCTTATGTATTTTGTGCGAGTTGTTTCGGTTGTGGTGGGATTTGAAGAATTATTAGTCAACCCCTTGTATATTTAATTTCGTTGAAATAAATTGAGCCGTATAATGCTCTTTACTAAAAAAATACATCCAAAACTAAAACTTTTTTGTTGCTCCTATCAACGATGATCCTGCAAAAAATAGCTAAAATCATAATTTTTTCTAAGAAAGTTGTCTGAAGAAAATTAATAACAAGAATTTTTTTCCTTCTCATTAAATTTGACTTCTCAATTTTTTCCTCCTAAATTTTTACCTAAGAAGGTGAAGATAAAGATTCACCAATAGTTTTATGTTGCTTTGGTCTTAAGATTTCAATAATTTTGAGACAACTTCTTTGTTATTATATCTTTTAATTTCTCCATATATTTAAGTTATCAGGACTATAATCAAGAAATTTAACTAGTATGTATTGAATTGGAGCAATCAATTCATTGGCCGCAATTAATTTGCAAACTCATTAAGATTATACTCTTATTTTCATCCTATATAACTTTTCTTAAATAGAAAATATTTGAAGAACAAAATCTATACCTAATGGCATAAGAGTGAGTTAGGTCCACCTCGTCGACCCAAACAAAATGAGTCCAAAATAAGATGGCTAGTAAAAAAGATTAATAATAGTCATAAAGAAAAAACCAAACTTATTAAAGCACATTGCCTTATATCAAGATAATTCCAGTGGCCAAATATATTTAACAGCTACATTTAGTACTCACCAAACACTTTTACATTTGAAGTCAACAAGGCGATCCCCAATTGAAATCACAAGACTCCAAGGACCCTGCGTGGCTTGGTAAGTTCTCAAGGGCTTCATCATAACACATCATTTCTAAATGAAGGTAGTGACTTGAACTTGTTCATTCTTCATGAATCACCAGTTTAACTTTAAAATGCAATTTTAGCTAGATTTTTTAAATTTAGTCATTCCAATAGAATTATGAATCAACCTAAACATATAAATAAATTATTAGAGCATGATCTTGACATATGGAATCTCTTGCATAGATCTTTTACTTATTGTAATCTAATGGAATCTCTTCGTTAATTGTTCAAATTTCTCGTCTTTCCATGTGTTTTTCAGCTCGATCTATAATTTTCTTAATTTTCTTAAAAATAATAAACATGTTTTTCATGAAATCCTTTTGTATTTATAATTCAATATTTTATTTCTTGAAGAATAATATGATAGACATTCTACTAAAATTTGCTTTCTCTACTGTCTAGCCAAGAAAAAGTTTGCACATCTCAATTATCCTTCTTAAGGCTCCATGCCTCCCTGGCTGTATAGTCCCTAAGCCCAGAATTTGAGTGCATTGAATGCTATGATAAAAACTTCTCTTAATTGTCACTAACAACTTATATGTGCTTTTAACAATATAAATCGTTTAATAATTAAAACTATAGAGTTATTTTATTGATGTAGTATAGTTTCTTCACTTGCTGTCTATAACTTATCAGAAATAATATCAAACAATGGTACCAGCAATTAAAAGAAAAAGAAAAGAGATGTATATACAATTCAGATATATTTTAATATCCGCTTTTATACTGCTAAAATTAAGAGTGTAAATGGGTGGAACACGAGCGAGCTCAGGACTCAGGTCATGTTAGGCTCGTTTATATTTCGAGCTCAAAAAGTGTGTCCGTGTTCGGCTCGTTTGCTTAGCGAGCGAACACGAGCCATTCACGAATATATAGTGCAAAGAGTCGTTTTGATAACAACACTAATCACGTAGTCATAAGATGTTAAAGATTATGACAAGGTTCAAAATATCATTTTAATCTAACTTAATAATTTTTATTCTATTTTCTTAATTAATACTTTTAATTGATTATAATATATATAAGTTATTAGTATTTTGAGCCAAAACGAGGCGAACACGAATGAACAAATATTTATTTGTGTTGTTGGTGCTCGGCTCATTAACTTAGCGAACAAGACTGACATGAGTTTTTTCACGAACTGAGCATGAACCGTTCACAAAAAACAAGTTTTTTTTTATATGTAAATAAGTAAAGTGACATGTCCAGAAATTCCCACAGAAAAACTATCAAAAAAGAAAGCATGCCGCGCAGGTGAAAGCCAACAAGACACTCCGTCAGCCCCGCAGCAAAAAGATTGCCACATCTGATTTATTCCTATTATTTTCTAGCAACCTTTGATTTCAAAAAACAGAAAGCCAGACGCAGCCGCAAGTGGGAGATGGAGAGAGAGAGAGAGAGCGCAGATAAGCCTTATAAAGAACCGCAACACTCCTAACACCAGAAAGCTCTCCCCTTCCTCTCCCATCGTCTTCCCCGAATAGCCTTTAATCCTCCTTTCCACCTCACAAAACAGAGCAAAAGCAGGGCAAGACATGAAGAACATGTAAAAGGAGGAAAGACGATCTGAAACTCATTTTCAGTGTGGTTGGGGGTTGCTCTTCCTGTTAGAGTGATGCGTGCTGGAGCTTGCACAATTCAGCAGGCCCTCACAGCCGAGGCGGCCTCCATTCTCAAGCATTCCCTTAACCTCGCTCGCCGGCGCGGCCATGCTCAGGTCACTCCTCTTCATGTCGCCGCAACTCTCCTCAACTCCTCCTACTCTGCTTCCTCCCTCCTCCGTCGTGCCTGCATCCGTTCACATCCCCAACATCCCACTTCCCTCCCTCTCCAATGCCGAGCTCTCGAGCTCTGCTTCAACGTCGCGCTAAACCGCCTTCCTACATCCCCTCCCCCTTCATCTTCCTCCTCTCTCCTCCACTCCCATCCCTCTCTTTCCAATGCCCTCATTGCTGCTCTCAAACGAGCTCAGGCTCACCAAAGACGAGGCTGCATTGAGAGCCAGAACCAGCATTCGCATCAAACCCAGCAGCAAAACAACCAGCCACTGCTTGCCATCAAGGTTGAGCTCGAACAGCTCATCATCTCCATTCTGGACGACCCGAGTGTCAGCAGAGTCATGAGAGAGGCAGGCTTTTCCAGCATCAGCGTTAAACAAAACCTTGAAGAGGATTCCTCCTCAGGCTTCGGATTGGCAGTATCCACCCAATCTCAGTCCTTAGTTTTCGACAACAGCAGTGTTTTCCTGCCAACTCACTTAATGAAAACGGTAGAGAAGAAGGAAGATGTAAGATTGGTTTTAGAAGTAATGATGAGAAGAAAGCAGCAGCAGCAGCAGGATAGGAGGTGTGGCAGCGCCGTGGTGGTAGGAGACTCTGGTTCCATAGCCTTTAGAAGTAATGATGAGAAGAAAGCAGCAGCAGCAACAGCAGGGTAGGAGGTGTGGCAACGCCGTGGTGGTAGGAGACTCTGGTTCCATAGCTGAGGGAGTTATGGATGAGTTATTGCAGAGGTTGGACAGAGGAGAGGTGCCGGAAGAGTTGAGAGGAGCTCAGGTAATTAAGCTTCAGCTCAGTTATGTGCATCTCAGGCTTTTGAGCAAAGTTGATGTTGAGATGAAGATTTCTGATCTTAGAAGAAGGGTCCTCTCTTCTTTAGAAAAAGGAGTTGTTGTCTATGCAGGGGACTTGAGATGGGCAGTTGGTGATGACGGTAGAGCTTGGGAGAGTTTAGCGGGGTTTAGACCAGTGGAATATTTGATATCAGAGGTTGGAAGGCTTCTATCGGAGATAAAAAATGGTCTCAATGGAGTGGGAGGAGAAAGAGGAAGGGTTTGGGTGTTAGCTTTTTCTAGCTATAAGACTTACATGAGATGTAAGCTGATTAAACCATTGCTTGAGTCTCAGTGGGATCTTCAGGCTGTACTGGTTCCTTCTGGTGGCCTTGCATTGAGTCTCCAAGCCCCTTGGTGAGCACTTCTACATGTATTTATATCTCCCTTTTCATCTTTTCTTTTCATTTTGTATGAAAGAGCGCTCAAAATGTCATTTTTTTAATATCCGGTGTTTCTTAGGACTGGAAGTTACAAAAAAAATTCATATGAGTTTAATCGAGGAAAATTTGTTTGCAGTAGCATGGACTCAGTGGTGTCAAAACTCAAGCAGTATCACTTACAGATGTTGGATCCTAGAGATTCTAATGCTGAGGAAGAGGAAGAGAAGTTTCTTTGCTGTGCTGAATGCTTCACAAATTATGAGAAAGAGGTGGCCTCAGTTTTAAAATCTGAGGCTAAAGATGCCATTACTGGAAATACCAAGTTGCCATGTTGGCTCCAAAGCCAAATACCAGAGAAGCCTCATAAGGTACATGAAAAAGATTTCCTTTCCAAGTCCTTCTAAATGATTTGTTTATATTTTTTATAGATTTATAAAAACAATTAAATTTTGAATCCAAATAATATTTCAGACTAACTTTCTTGAATTGAGGAAGAAATGGAAGAGACTCTGCCAGAATCTTCACCAGTCTAGAATCAGCATTGCTCAAGCGCATCCTTCTTTCATCAGCAAAGCATATGCTTCATCGCATCCATGGCCGTCAAATAGCCTGCCTTCAACCAATAGCCTGTTAAGCATTGAACCTAGCTCAATGTCATTCCCAGCTCATAGCAAAAGGAGCCCAAAGCAATGGCCGTCAGAATCAAACCCAAAGTCATCGAAGAAACTAATCATGACCACTCTTGCACTCTGCAACCATCTTTGCTCTGATTCTGCAACATCAAATGATCATATAAAGCCATCTCCTGTAAGTCCAAGAGGATTAACCCAGAAGATCCAGGAGAACATTCCATGGCAGTCTGAGCATATTCATTTGGTTGTAGATGCACTGCTCGATTGCAGATCGAGTGAGAAGAAGGAGACTTGTATAGTGATTCATGGGAATGATCGGATTGCCAAGAAGCGTTTGGTTCGTTTAGTAGCTGACTCATTCTTCGGATCCACTGAAAGCGTTCTACACATTAATATGAAAAGATCAACAGGTGCAGCAATCGATCTAATCAAAGCTGCACTAGTAAAGGAACCTAAAGCTGTTGTTCTGATTGACGACATTGATTGCACCGCTCCTGAGTTTGTCAAATTGATCCAAAATGGAATCAAAGATGGATATTTTAAGGATTCATGTGGAAGAAAGGTAGGTTTGCCTAGTCTGATGTTTATATTGACAAGTTCTGCATCAAAGGAGACTGAACCGGTGGAAGGAGATGGCTGTGACAAAGTTATTAGAATGAGGATGTGGACAGATGGGGAAGAGGAACATCAACAGCAGTCTAATGAGAAGAGAAAGAGTGAGTGGAATCAAACAAGAGAAAAGAAGCAGCCGAGAACTTCAGATGGTGATGAACTGGATCTTAATGTAGCCATAACCAGTAATGATGATGGTAATGATGATTGTGGCCTGAGTGATCTCACGAACGATGCCAGTCAAGTTGGCAACGAGGTTCAGCTCCCTGCAAAAACTGTCTTAAATTTTGATATTAACACGGATGTGTTTGGCAAAATTGTAGAGAGATTCACGGTCAGGCTTCAACGGGCATTTGAAGAAGTGGTTGCCGGAAATAGAGAGAAGGAAACGCTGGTGGTAGACCCTGCGTTGGCGGAAGAGCTGGCCACGGCTTCCGGGTATTTTTTGGAGTTCGAGTTTGATAAGTGGGTAAGGGAGGTTTTTCAAAATTGTATTCCAACGGTCAAAAAGGGCGGTAAGGTAAGATTGGGTATGGAGGGCAGAGTAGAGAATAGGCTGGAGTTAGGATTTCTGGGCTCGACTCTCCCAATGAAAATCTCTGTTGATTGAGCCCTATATGTAACATGTGATGTCCAAATATGCCACCGAGTATTTTTGTTTTGTATTGTTGATTTTATTAATTTAGCTAAAATGCACTTTCATTGTACAAATATCAAATCGGTCTCCATATTCTTTTAATATGTGCCGAAATGGACCCCCATAAAGAACTATTATAGCCCCCATTAGAATAATTTGAAACAAATTTGACACTTTTATATATTTTGAGACTAAAATAGCCGATGTAAATAATCAAGGTACTATTTTGATATTTTACTTTTTTAACATTTAATAGAGTTGCAGCTCTTGATAATTTACAAATCAAATAAGTTGTCTTTGAGAAATTAGATGATGAAAATTTTGATAAAATCAAGAGATTTGAATTTTTAAAATGCATTATATAAATGACAGATGCCAAAAATTTGGCTTTTGTTTAGTACTCTTTCTTCCCTTATATTAGTTTCTGTCTGGAATAAGCAGACATGCAAAAGCTCTTAACCATCTTTTTGACATTTTGTTTGGATGTGCTTTGCCATGCACGCGGGAAAAGTGATGGGCGGACAAAGCTAGTATGAAGAAAAGAACAAATTTTATGTGACAGTGGGATTTAGCTTTGACTGCTCCATGTTTGGAATTCCTGTAAGGAATCAATCTTTAGATTATGATCTTCTAAAAGCGATAAAATAGAGAATCATACAAGATATGTTTAATGGAACTTTACGGAGTGCATTAATGTGTTGCCTCGTTTTCATCCCATGCCATGCCATCTCAAGATTTGTATCCGACTTTTATTGAGCATTTTCATGGTGGATTTAGTTTTTAAAGCAAAAAGGCAAGTAAAACAGCTATAAAATAAAACAAATTATGGATTACAGAGCAAAATTTTTGTTTAGATTTTGGGTTTGTTTGCATCAGCTGCTGTAGTTGTTTGAAAAAGTTATGCAACAAAAGTGTGTGCCCCAAACCTAGCCTTCTTTCATTCCATAATTTCCATTGTTGTTCTCACTATATGATGGCAAGATAAATTATATAGTGATATATATGAGCTGCCTTTATAGAACTTTAAAATAATACTATTTTTTAAGTACTGTTTAACAGACCTAGCTTGTTGGAATTGCAATGTAAATGCCATTTTGTGCTGAGCTGGATGATGAATGATAAGAAAAAATATCAAAAAATAAGACTAAATAAAATGTGGGAGAGTAACAAATCAACGAAATGAAGAGAGAAAAAAAAGAAATTTTAGATGAACTTTTAAGGTTTTTAGAAGTATATTGTATGTATGAGAAATTTCATTCACAATGCAATATATTAATGTGATATTTATGTTCAAGTTTAACTAGCTAGGACTTTGTATGCGCCATGATTATTCAGTTGTTATGCAAACATGCATGGCTTTATTGATCTTACTCTAATTAGAAATCTACACAATTTCCTTATAAAAAAAGCTTTTGGAAAATTATACGCAAATTTTGTATCTTTCAATGCATTATTTAAATTAAAAAGTGCTATTTCCTTTCCGCTGAAGAGAGTTTTGTCATTTATAAAGATAATTTTAATTATATAAAAGTTTATTTTATTCATTACATGACGTTTATTTTCTGTCACATCAACCAGACATTAAAAGAATGCAACACTTGTATCAGTTTATTGGTGGCAAAGGGAGTTAGTTATTCAGATCATGTATGCTTATTTTTGGCCAATTGTTTTTCTTTTACCCGATAAAAAGAGGATCACATCCAACTTCACATTTAAATGAAAAAAATTGCATAAGATCAAACGTGTATACCAGAAGCGCATTTGTACAAATCTTGAGGAAATCTAATGGACAAAAATACAAAGAAGTACGGCTAAGGGTTTACAAATGGAAAACAAAGGATCCATAGGTGGTAGACCAAGTGCTCACAAGCGAAAGACCAAAGGTTCGTTATTGGAAGACCATGATCCACTAGCGGAAGACTAATGGTTCACTAACGAAATAACAAAGGACCTACTTGACTAGGTACATCTGCCTAAACCAAGCCTAGAGGATGACTGAATGCATGCCATCCATACTAAACACCAAGACCAATCAATCTTAGCAGAGGCATTGATATACCTCTCGCCACAACCCAATTCAAGAGAAAAATTAAACAACTCCAGACATATCACGGATGTCATTGAGATTCCTCGTACAAGGTCGAGAATTGGACATAGCATAATCACATAAAGCATCTTCAAGGATCTCCTCGTCAAGGAGTAAGCCACTTATCAAATTATGTGATTCACCGTCTACTCGGTAGCCTAGCCTTACTTTGCTGACAGAAGTTTCTTGTTTAAGGATCAATCGTTGGCAACTAGACTAGAATAGCCGACTGGCAAAACCAAGCATATTGAGTCAAGTCCTGTCGACTTGAAGTCTAACAAGGGTTGACTAGCAAACCTGATTCAGTAAAGCCGAATGAACCAGTCTCTTCGAACCAAGACAGATTTATTTTTGCACTAAGTCATAAGGTAACCGAGTTGAAGGCATATACATGTAGAACACTAAAAATATCATGTAGCATCCCCATTAATTCAAGATCAGATATGTAATTTCATATGTTTTACCCATTTTCTCTATAAATAGGGGAATCATTGCATGAGAAATGACAAATAAACAATTCAAACTTCTGTTCATTACAATATGCTTCCCTCTCTATCTCTCTCTCTCTCTCCTATCTTATACTCTATTTATTTGATGTAATTCATGAATAGATCTGGATTCAACACCCTAAAAGGTATAGTGAATGTGGAACATGTCACAGATAAGAAGAAAAGTAGTACACAAACAAGAAAATCCTAAAAGAGACACTGCTTGTCTAAAGTGCACCAGGGAGTGTGTGCAATAACAAATCCATGAGCTGAAACACTTGAATATGGATGTCCTCAACGAGACATTAGTTCAAGGAAGGGAGCATATCCCTCGGAGGAAGGGTCGGTGCCCAACAACAAAAGGACACTCTTGGTTGTGCAAAGGGAAGGAGAATATCAGTACCTTGATAATGCTAGGTCAATACTGATTGATAAAAAATAATTGAAGCATAATGAGGCACCCCGCCATTCAGAGGATGCATTTCCCAATATATTTTTGAAGCTGAGCTCCAAAAAAGATTTAAAATTAATGCTTTGGAATCATAGAAAGGTCAGACTGATCCGACCGACCACATAGCCTTTTTTGAGTATCGTGTGCTTGTTAAAGATCACAGATGTGTTGAATTGCCACCTATTCTTTACCACATTGAGAGAGTCAACCTCAAGTGTTTCAATAAATTATCACTGTGGGTGATCACCTCATTCGCTAATTTTAAAAAGAGGTTTGTGGCATAGTTTGTCAGCACCTAGAAGGCCCATAAGAGCTCACACACCCTCCTATAGATAAGGCAGAGGAAGAACAAGAGTCTCTACTCGTTCAACACTTGATTTTAAAAGATATTGGAGGTGTTGGATCTGAAACACTTAGCAACACACGCCATCCTTGTCTAGGGTTGAAGAATGGTCCATTACGGTGCGCTCTAGGTGTACAACTGCTGAAAACTCTGGTTAAGTTGTTGAAGTTGTCCAACAATCACCTATCGGCTAAAGACTAAACTGCATCCCCAATTTTTTAAATGATTCAATTTTCGTAATTTAACCTATTTTTTTCTAGCATTTTGCCTACTATTATGAGTTATTTATCATGGATTTTCACTTGTGGAAGTTTTTTGTTGATATTGTGTAGGTTACAAGTGATTAATATGTGTATTTCAGAATGAACCACATAAAAATTGGTGAAATCAGCATGACCACACCTTGTATGCAGTGGCAGTGGCGTAACCACATCCAGATTAGGTGTGACCATGCTGTTTGATATGCAGTGGCGTAACCACATCCAGATTAGGTGTGACCACGCTGTCTGATATACCAAAAATTTATTTATTTTTATACTCATATTTTATTGTCATTTTTTGTGATATTGCACTTTAATGGAAGATATTTTTTTTATGTTTTATTGCAGATTATTGATTTTTAGGACTTGAGCAAAAAGAATGAAATTTGGAGTCAAAATAAAAATTTTGAAAAATTGTTCAGCACCGACGGCGCCAGACTGGGCCTGGGCACCAACGGTGCCTTTTAACATTGAAGACGGACTAAATTAAATGGTCCAGTGTCAAACTTTAATGAAAGATATTTTTTATGTTTTATTGCAAATTATTGATTTTTAGGACTTGAGCAAAATGAATGAAATTTGGAGTCAAAATGAAAATTTTGAAAAATTGTTCAGCACCGACGGCGTCAGACTGGGCCTGGGCGCCAACGGTGCCTTTTAACATTGAAGATGGACTAAATTAAATGGTCCAGTGTCGGTGCAAGCCATGTTTCTAGAAGATTTGACAAATTTGGACATTTTTTGAAGAGTTTTTGGATGCGACGCACACTTGGAAGAACCGACCCTAAGCTCTATTAAGAGCCAAAATTGACCTGAAAAGAGGCCCTCTTTCGTCTCTCTCAGCGATCCATCACCCCTTCTTGCCACTTTACATCATTCCACACCATTAATTAGTTATTTTCTTTATATTTTTTAGTTTTTATGGTGAGTTTAAGTGTGCATCCTTCTCTAAGAGTGTTGGAGAGGGAGAGAAGTGAGATTTCTTCTTCCTACATTTCCTAAGAGAGGCTACAAGGGATTTACTTATAGAAAGAGTTTCAGATAAGTGTTATTTGTTTGTTATTGTTGTATGAACTTTCTTTTATATATTAAATTTATGTTTTGTTATATCTTTCTCATGAATTCTGAGTAGTTTCTTTTATCTCTCCCTACTCTGAGATATGGTGAAATGAAGAGATAATTTGGATGTGTCAATGTTAAAATTTAAAATAAATTGTGATGGTTTTTCAACTCTGCTCTTAATTTACTTTTCGATCTGGTCAATTGAATTGTTAAAATATGTTGTGAAACATATGATCCGGGAAATGGAGTACGAGTTATACAACAGAATGAGAATCACATTTAAGTTCATGAAGGAGTATTTCGTTCATGGAATTAAGTGCAAATAAAAACTCTTCAATTTGATCTTAGTGTTTAAAAACTATATTTCGTCATGGAATTAAGTGCAAATAAAAACTATATTTTGTTGGGTGCAGAATTGGAGATTTTTT